AGGGATAGAGAGTTAGAAACATCGATCAGCTGCCTCCTGCACACTCCCCACTGGGGATGTGCCCGCAACCAAGGTACATGCCCTTGACCGGAATCGAACCTGGGACCTTTCAGTCTGCAGGCTGACGCTCTACCAATCGAGTCACACTGGTCAGGGCCTGTTACTGATTTTTAACGCCATCCCACTGTGGTCAGAGAAGGTACTTTGTATGACAGCCGTCTTTTCAAATCTGTTGAGACTTGTGTTGTGGCCTCACGTGTGGTCTGTCCTGGGGAAGGTCCCGCGTGCACTTGAGAAGAACGCATGGCATTATCGCCCGGGTTGGCTCCTGTGCGAGCTCCGTGTGTGTGTGTGTGTGTGTGTGTGTGTGTGTGTGTGCATGCACGCTCCTGGCGTGCTGGCGGGGTGGGTCGTGTTAATCATGGGCTTTCCTCTTTGCAGCTTGGCCAGTGTCAGGAATAACATGGTGGAGACGTTTCCCTCCTCGCTGAAGTACACCGACATAGACACCGACCCCCTGCCAGGGTAAGGACAGCGGGCGGGTTGGGGCGTCTTTCTGGCGGAGGTGTCAAGGGGGCTCAGGTGGGCTCAGGGGGAGTGGGGACGGGGGCTGTGGGGACTGGGAGGAGACAGTCATGGGGTGGAGCCCCCCCAAAAGCATCCCCTGGGAGCCCTCACCATGTATTGATCCTTATGCTGGGAAGTTGTATCCTTATCATTGTGTTGGGGCTGGGAGTGACCTGGTTGGGGGTTGGGATTTGAGAGGCCAAGGATGGGTGTTCACATTGACTCAGTGACGGGGTGGGCGCACTGAGCAGAGGGGGACACAGTGATGGGTGATGGTGGTGAGTGTATGGGGATGGGCGATGGGGCCTGGCTCCCCGGTGATGGTGGTGAGTGTATGGGGATGGGCGATGGGGCCTGGCTCCCGGCACATCCAGGAAGGCCAGGCAAACAGCTTCCCCTTTCACCTCTTGTACTCTTTTTGCCGTAAAATCCAGGTAATCCTTTATCTTCTTTGGGCCCATTTCACCCTTTAATCTTGGCATTCCTGAAGCCCAGGAAAACCAGGAAGTCCCATATATCTGTATCTATCTGCCTATAAACCCATATCTGTATCTATCTGCCTATCTATATCTATATATCTGTATCTATCTACCTATAAACCCATATATCTGTACCAATCTATCTATCTACCTATTTTAAATGTTTTTAGTGATTTTATTGAAGGGAGAGGGACAGAGAGGTTGCAACATTGATGAGAGAGAAACATCGATCGGCTGCCTCCTGCACAGCCCCCACTGGGGATCGAGCCTGTAACCTGGGCCTGTGCCCCGACACCCACATTTTAATGATCTCTGTATTATGCTTGGGCCCTTTGAGCCATAAGGTCTCTCTGGTATAAAAGATATACTAGCCCTGGCTGGTTTGGTTCAGTGGACAGAGCATCGGCCCGCAGACCGAAGGGTCCCAGGTTCGATTCCAGTCAAGGGCAGGTATCCTGGCCCTGGTTAGGGGGTGCGGGAGGCAACCAATGAATGGGTCTCTCTCCCTCCCTCCCACTTTCTCAAAAAAAAAAAAGAAAAAATCAATGGAACCATAGGGTCCGAGAGGATTAACAAGACGCTGGCCTGAAGGAGGGGGTGGCTCTGTGGACAGTGCCCCCGCGGCCTCTGGTCATGAATCCCGAGTGGGCAGGTCCCCTCTCTGCGAAGAGGCTTCTCTTTCTGTTTTGTTTTACGTTTCAGGGAGGAGGGGGGAGGAGGAGGGGAGGAGGGGAGAAGCGAGGAGGGGCCCCCAGAGGCTCACTGCGCGCTCAGCAGCCCCCCCGCCCCGTGCAGGTCCCCCCAGGTCGCACCGGCTGTGGCTTTAAGAGGCCCCAGCTTCCTGCTCTGACGTCAGGGGAGGCAGGGCCAGGGGTTCACTTTCCTTTTCCCCGAAAGAGGTGGCGAAAGAGGCGTTGAGAGGAAAGGGGAGGAGATGACACGGAGTGACCCGGGATGGGAGCGGGGAGTCGGCGGAGGACCTGAGTGAGGGAGGCTGACATGGGGTGAGCGTGGGCACCGCGTGTGTGTGACACGGACGGACGGACGGACGGACGGGGGA